GAGAAGATATTGACTGGAACTCACCAATTTTGGAAGGCGCGCCAAGACTGACTCCCAATTACCGCGTTAATCAAATTTTCTCTTCCGAAGAAGAGGATGTTCTTAGTGATTATTTCCAAACTCTGGCAAAATTACACCACGGCATGAATCCAAAGGGTGCCCGAAAGCTGGCGTACGAATTAGCAGTGGCAAATGCAAAGAAGATACCAAAGTCATGGAAAGAGAATTGTACTGCGGGAAGGCTTTGGTTCAACGGATTTATGAAGCGGCGACATGAGTTGTCGATCAGATCAGCAGAAGCTACTTCTTTAGGGAGAGCAATGGGGTTTAATAAGCCCGTTGTTGAACAATTTTTTAATAATCTGCGGCAAATATTTCAAAAATATAATTTAGAACCACATCAAGTGTACAATGTTGATGAAACAGCCCTCACCACTGTCCAGGAGACAGGAAAGGTTCTGGCTCGAAAAGGGCAAAAGCAGGTGGGACACATTACTTCAGCCGAAAGGGGGACATTAGTTACAATGTGTGGTTGCATTAATGCTATTGGTAATAATATACCACCATTGTTGATTTTCCCGAGAAAATTTTTTAAAGACCATATGATAAAAAACGCTCCACCTGGAACTGTTGGGACAGCATCGCCATCAGGTTGGATGACAACAGAGATCTTTATCCAGTGGCTAAAACACTTATTAAAGCATGCCAATCCAACACCAGAATCGCCAATCTTATTAATCATGGACAATCATGAAACCCACATTTCGCTGCAGACTATAAAATTAGCCAAAGAAAATAATATTATATTATTGACACTACCGCCTCATACTAGCCACAAACTACAGCCATTAGATAAAAGTGTCTATTTTCCTTTGAAGAAGTATTATAACCAAAGTTGCCAAACGTGGCTACTTAATAATCCCGGCAAAAGAATTAGCATTTATGATATAGCTGAACTTTTGGCGGAATCATATCCGCTTGCTTTCACCCCTCGAAACTGTATATCCGGTTTCAGGTCGACCGGAATATACCCCTTCAACAACAACATTTTCAATGACAATGATTTTTTGGCAGCATCTGTAACTGATGTTTTAGGAGCAGATAGTGCATCACTACAAAATGACAACAACAATATCGAAACAATAACCGGAAGAGAAGAAGAATCTAATAGGAACCTCCAGGTCCTCGAAATCACGCCATCTACTTCTGGAACCTTACGCAGTGGAACTCCAGAAAAGCAGTTCATCTCTCCAACAGTTTTAAAACCATTTCCTAAAGCCATTTCAAATCCTGTGAAAAGACGACAGCGAAAGAAGAAAAATACTGAAATATTAACCAGCACGCCGGTCCTTAAGAGACTTGAGGAAGAAGAAATATTGAAGGATGCTCGAAAAAACAATATAAAGAAACAACCAACTGTAAAGAGAAAAGCCATAAATGATACACAAATGGAGGCAAAAAAGCCACTACAATGTAACGAATTAGAAATAAGCTCGAGTGATAGCGATATAGACGTAGATTTGACAGATTCTGATGATTTAGATTGGTTTAGCGAGTCTGACAATGATGAACAATCAATAATAAATGACACCTCAACAATTTCGGAAGACTCATTTGTTCTTGTCAAGTTTTCGACTAAAAAAACTTTAAGATATTATGTTGGACGGGTCCTAGAAGCAAGAAAAAGTGAATTTAATATTATATTTTTGAGGAGGAAAGGTAAAAATTTCAGGTACCCTGATGTACCTGATACAGCCTTCGTTCCAAAAGAAGACATTGTCATTCATTTGCCCGAGCCATTAAACATAGGCGGAACTGCCAGGACGGCCGATTTATTTTCATTTTCCCTAAATTTGTCAATGTACAACGTTTGCTAATTTTTTGTTATTTTCTTTGAAGTTACTTTAATTTTGTTATTTTTTAGAATAATATATTATTTTGCTAATAAATGAGCTATTATTTACTCTCTATATTCTAAAAAGTAGTGACCAGTGGGCACTGGCCACTGTACCATATTTATGTGGCCACTGTACCCTCACTGCAGGTACAGTAATCACTTTGTAATAACTTTTTGAAATTGCGTATTTTTTGTTTTATTATTATTGGAAAAAATCAGGACTGTGTTGCTAAAGGGGCAAATGTCCTATTGATTGCATGGTGCTATCAAATTGGACATAAGGGTTCAACTTTAGTTTTTATTAATTTTTTTATGAAAAGGTGGCCACTGTTCCAGACTCTCCCCTACCCATAATAGGGAACCGCAAGCAATGCCTGTGAATTATTTTTTCTTTACGTTTTTTAGAATACTTTTTTATTTGAGAATATTTGTTTTTTTATTACAAGAATATTATTGTTTATTTTCCACATTTCCTAAGAAATATTTGCAAGGAATTTTTGTTTCTGTAAACAAAATCATAATAAAATATTTACGTTGTTTTATAACAACACCTTACCTCAGTCGTAATGAAACTGACACTAAATAGCAAATCTCGAACATGTCGAGTGGGCGGGACCCGCCCGGCGGGTAACGCAGATAGTTAAAGAAGGGGAAGCAAAACATTAGCGTGTAATAGACCGTTTTGATTTAATTGTTTTAAAAATTTCTACTGCACGCTCATGACGGAGGGGAATCACGTTTGTTAACCAGTCGATGGTTGTTAATCTCACTCTTTCGTACGTTTTATATTGCATGCATCTTTGTCACAATTTGGCCTAAATGTGCATTATTACCACTGTATACTAAGTTGCTTCGTTTAGTCGTTAGAGTAGTGGTGGGCAAAACCGCTATTTTTAAGTAGCAGTTAAAACAGTTACCGCTTTTTTTAAGTAGCAGCTATCAAATAGCTGCTTAAAAGAAGCAGTTTATCCGAAACGGTGCTCGTGGGAATGGACCACAGCCGCTGACAGCGGCACGCGTGTTTCTTGCGCATGTTTCATTTTAAAACGGCTATTTGGGTTCGCTATAGCGCTATAGTAGCGATTCGCTACTAGCGAATCGCTTCTGCTTGGCTTACAAACGTCTAGGGAGAGGTCACAGGGATCTTTACTAGCAAATAATCGCGATCTTTTGCAATGATTGGAAATTATAATGTTGTTAATAATGATTTTCTATGCTAGGATGATTAGGTTTAAAAAATTAAAAATTGGTTAGATATGAATAAATTTTAGTATTAAAAATCCGAGTTTAAAAATTAAAATTTTTTTTACTCGGCTGCAAATTAAAACTCATTTTTAAAGTGTATAACATATTATTAATTAGTCTCCAATGCTGTAACTTTACCTCCGTTAGTAAAATCCCGACATCACACAGCAGTGGCGCTGTCCAAGGCCGAGTCAGCAGCTTTTTGTCAAAAAGTTTTTGATATAGCGGATTCCGCTAAGCGGAATTCGAAACAGCGATATCGATCACTGTGCGCAGACAATACGTTAAATGCGATCACAAACGGCGGAGTTAGGTTATGTTGTTGGTAGCAGCTTTTTTTAAAACCGGGTAACAGTGATAGCTGCTTCAGCAAAATAACTGTTAAAAAATAGCAGCTTACGCGATAGCAACCCACCTCTACGTTAGAGGTCTTTAAAGTTTTGAAAAATAACTATTTTTTTTAATATCTTAGTAACGTATTAATGTATTTTTAATATTTTTGGAATATAAGTTTTAACTGCCAATTAACGTCGTTTGGTGCTACACTCAGTTATAATTAAAAATTAGAATAATCAGAAAAGCAAGGTTTATTTTTTTTACTGTTGATATAATGGTTTTATTTACTTTATTTATTTATTTTATTTTATTTATTTTTTATTTACTAGGAAATAGAAAGCTTACTTTGTTTAAAAACTTACAAAAGTTCGATGAGCGGTTTAGTCAGAAAAAAATATTTTGTAATGTCTGCATACCTACTATCGATATATCGCGATAGTTACTATGTTTTATCCCGAAAATTGAACATTATAAATCTAGAGATTCCTTTTCTGAAAATAGGTCAATTTGACTCAACGCAGTTGCTTCGTTTAGCAGATAAAAAGTGAAATACAGAGTGTTGATAATAGGTAAATGGTGTATAAAGAGGAAGGTTTTCGCATATTTTTTCAGTCACTTCCGGTTTCACCGGAAATGGGTCCAGGTTCAAAAAATTAAATAGAAACCCCTTTATATATTTACATTCTCGGATTCTTAACATAATTCTGGACTTAAATGTGATTTTTTAATGCCTTTTGAGCAATTTTTAACAATGCATCTAGGCCACCTTAATGTAATATTAAAAACGGATAAAAAGAAAAAGTAGGCGTAAACCGGCGTAAACACTTTTAACAAATATTAAACGCCATGTATATAATTTGCTCATTGTCCAAGCAATACATGCGATAAACAACTTAAGATTCATATTAATTGTTAATATTTTCTTTTCTCAGAGGTTTACATTTTTGGCTGGGATAAGTTTCGCGATTTTTTGCGATTTTTTTGGTTAACAGTTTTTAGTAGTCTACATATTTGTCTAATAAAAAATATATATTTTGGCTTGGCATTCGTTGGCCTTCCTATTTTTTTACTCTGCAAAACTATAAAATTAAATATTCATGTTAATTACCTTATCAGTTCTTGCCAAAAACAAAAAAAAAACACGAATTTTCCATAATTTTATGTACCCAACACAACTAATTGACAGGTCTAATGTCAGTTATGAAATGTTTAAGGCGACTTTTGCTTTTCACGGCCCTCTAAGCTATAAAAAAAATCGCAAAAATCGTAGTTTTAATTAAAACGATTGCCTTAAAAATATACTTTCTTTTAAAGATCTGACATTGGGCATTTATAAAAAAGTCTTCGTAGAGTATTTTTAAAAAGCAATTATGTTTTTACAAGTTTGAATATGTTTTTAATAAAACAATAGTGGCAAATTATACATTTTCAATAATGACTTATTGCAACCTAGTTTGGGCATAGGGCCCACAGTGGATTGGAGGGATATTTTCTAAAAAATCAGAGTATTTTAATACTTAAAGCGGCAACGGGTAGATAAACGGGAAAAATAAAATAACTTTATTAAAAAAAAAAATTTCTTCTTTTGTTAAACAAAACGGCTATATCCTTACGGATATGAAAAATAAACGAGGACCTCTTGTAACAAAAACTAAAATCCTTTTAAAATAAACAATGTCATTCTTCAACAATAAAATAAAATAAATAACACCGACTTCAACTAGTCGAATATGGCGGTCACGCAGACCCCGCAGTTCCAACAAAACTTTGGTAGGTTAGGGGGCGGCCTTCTCGCGTTTAGGGGGGCTTTCTGTTTAAACGCCCGCCTCTTGTCGACGTAGCCTTCGGCGGGGGTAAACGGGTCGGAAAAGGGGGCGGTAGCAGGTTTATTGCAGCAGGCCGAGGATTTAACCCCTAAAAGACCGCACCTACTACAAAACTGTATATGTTTATTTTCCGCAGGGCACTTTCCCCGCGCGTGACCGGGCCGTCCACACCTCCAACACAGTCCAGACGCTGTCGGTAGGAAGACGTTGTCATTTTGCACCCGAATGGAATGCGGCGTTCCTTGGTACGCCTTCAGCAATGATATTGGCACGGAATGTCTGCCCAGGGTGATGTTATTGGAATTCAAACCGTAGTTGGCTACGTTTGCTGCCGATGTGGCAACGCCGCGTCGGAGTTGCGCGGATTGCCTTGCAACAGTGGCGGCCTCTGCCGATTGGCTCTCTTTGCTGACTTCTTTTATGGTTGGAACTATTGGTTCTTTGGTTACTTTTTCCCGGTCTAAAATCATTTTTTGGCATTTTGAATCCTTGTTTAGTTCTTTTGCTTTGTTTCCATCACCCAGTGGATTTTCTTTTTTCTGTTTTGGCGCTTCTTTAACAGCAGTTGGTAATACTTCATTTTGTGTTGTTTCTGCTGGTGGAGGTGGCGGGGGTGGCGCTGGGGGTGGGGGTGATGGAAGTGGTGGTGGTTTAGTCTCATCTGAAGGTTCATAACAATAATTTTGCATTAAAGGTATTCCATAACCCCCAAAAGAAAGTAAACTTTGTGTATTAGTAGTGTTTAAGGTTACACTATTATTAAAATCAAAATTATTATTATTTGAACCTAAGAATGACTGATTTTGCTCATAGCTCTGAATATTTGAATTATTTACTTCATTATCACTAATGTCCATATCCAAAGGTTCTTCTTTTATAGTTATTATAGATTTACAATCATCATATGAAGGGTCATATTTTTCTTTTTTTGTAGTACTATTTTCTTCATTTTCCACTTCATCCATCCAAGGATTGAACATTTTCATTTCAGGCAATCCATAATGATCCTCATTGGAAGAATGTCTCAATTTTTCTTCATCTTCATTTTGGTTTGATTTTTTTTTCTTTGGGTTGCTTCCATGAAAAATCTCTCTTTCCAAATTGCTAAAATCTTTATCATCATCAAAATCATCATTCAAATTACTGCAAGATCTCTTGCTGATAGCACCATGGGAGCTACTTCTTGGATCACAGCTAAAATTGTATGCAAACATAAGTTTATACATGATTAATCACAATTGTGTACAAAAATAAATGTATTATAAATATATTAAATAGATGTGTAAGACAACAGTTGACAAAGAATTGTATATAAAAAATTGAACATGGATCAATAAAAGCTGAAGTGTCTTATTCCAAAATTTTCATAGTTACCCCTGGTACCCTAAATAAAGTCTGTCAATAGGTTATAACCTATAATTTCCTTTTTAAAACGTGGCAAAAACAACTTACCTGCTGTCCATTTCAGTTTTTTCAAGTAAAATCCAAATTATTTAAATGAATCGTCTTCTTCTTCTACAAAATTAAGCAACATGATGTTGCAAACATCTTTTATGTCAAGCAGTGTTGCCAGATTTGTGTGTATACGAGGGAGCATCAATGAAATGGGAAAAATGCTTGGTTCAAAATTCATTTTCAGGAAAGGCTGCTTTCAAAATTTATTTACAGGGGATGGGGTTAAAAATAATAGAGAATTGAAACAATTTGGTTTCTATTTTTTAAATTTACCATAGGAAATTACATACACTGTGTCTGCAAACATATGGGAAACTTTTTTATTATTAATTTTAAGACAAAAAGTTATTCTTCATAAAAAGTTCTGCATGCACTAAAATCTAAAATACAATAATCAGATATAAAAAAATTCAGTCGTATAGGCGGTTTGTCAAAAAATATGGAATGCAGATCCAAAATTCTTAATAATTTGACAAATGATAATTTTTATTGATTTTTAGCGAAAAATATTTACTTACCTAAAAATAATCAGATATAAAAAAATTCAGTCGTATAGGCGGTTTGTCAAAAAATATGGAATGCAGATCCAAAATTCTTAATAATTTGACAAATGATAATTTTTATTGATTTTTAGCGAAAAATATTTACTTACCTAAAAATATGGTAAAAAAATAGTCTGTTTTTTCTGAGAATAGACGCAACCCTGTAACTTTTTTATTTTTATCAGGTGACACAAATTACTAATTTCTAATGGTGGAATTGGAGATTGTATACTTTGCTGCAAATCTATCAGTGGAGATTGTCGACTTTGCACTAAATGTCATTTTTAAAATAGGATTTAAGGCAGGATTTAGCTCCTTTTGCAGCACAAACTTTATCATCACATAGATAATTAGTTGAAGTACAGTCTCCGCCAAAAATCTAATTTTTGACCAAAACTGGAGATTGTCGGTTTTGCTATGACAGGCCTCAATTTGCCTTGGTACAAAATAAACAATATTTTTTTTTTGTAAGCATAGGTCTAAATATAAAAAATAATAGATTTAACAATCTTTTTTATTAACAAAAACATTAACAATGAACTAATATTGGTTTTAAAATGAGAGTTTGTATACATTATTTTTACAGATTTGAGGTTTGTCTTAAATAAGTCCTAAAGAAAAATTCAATCTTTATAACAAATTATTTACTATTATTTAGCAAATCCGTTGTATGGGAACATCAGGATGTTGCTGGGCAAATTCTTTTGCCTTCATGGGAACCAACCCGGGATAAAGTTTGACAAGATCGTCGCAAAACTTGACGCAACAATCCTTGTTTGTCAAGCTCTCCACCGCCGACTGCGAACCCAAATGGCACACAACCGTAACCAAATCCGGGTCCAGACTTTTGTTGAGGTACAGACTAATCATCCAACCGTCCTCCACAACGAACGGGTTATTCCCCGCGAGTTCGCTCCAGACAGCCTGAAGCTTCGTCCTATTGTCCACCAGTAAATGCCGAGCCTTGGACGGCAGAAAGAAGTAAAACTGCTTCACCAGACTCACTTCGGGGTGGAACAAAATCTTCAGCGACCATTTTTTCAGATTCCTTTTCAGCCACTTCTTGATCTCGGGCTCCCCGCTCAACCAAATGCATTTATCCACGTAAGCCATCGCATAGAACTTTGGTATCGCAATTTTTGGGTTCGAAATAGTCTCGTCCAGGGTCTGCGTCAGTTTTTTCTCTATGTCGATCACGTCGGCCACTTCGAAGGTTCTATCGACGTTCGTCTTGTCCACTATTTTAACGGCGTTGAATTTGTTGGCCAGTTTTGCGCACACGTCGGGGTTTATCAAGGGTTTGTCGGGGATTCGCACCAGGTCCTTGGGCTTGACCATGAACTTCAAGAACCATGGCGTGGGTAACGGTATGAAATGGTTTGGCGGCGAAATAATCGGCGGTAAAGTCGTTGTATGGCCGTTTAAAGCCGCCTGGGTAACTTGAGACGACTCCACAAGAGTTGTTGAGTGTTTTACACTTTCCGCCACCGTTTGAGGCGGTGGACTTTGTCTAAAGGTTAGAGTATATCCTTTATTTTTTTTATCTTTCCTATAAAACTTTTTTTTTTTACGAACCCTACAACTAATACTAGTACTAGTACTTTGCCCTGTTTTTATGTTAAGAGCAGTTGCTGCGTGTTTCACACTTACCGCTACCGTTTGAGGCGGTACACTTTGGGTTAAGGTTACAGGAGTTTTTTTATTTTTTTTATCTTTCTTAGAATTTTTTTTTTTTTTAAGAACCACCACGCTACCACTAATAATAGTACTTTGCCCTGTATTTATGTTAAGAGCGGGGCAACGGTCAAGCAACGTCTTTCTAACGGCAGGATCCAAACGGCTGATAACTTCACTCAAAGTCACTTTCCCGAAAAGCAAATTCCGAATAATTTGTTGAACAATCCGATCGAAAACCACCTTATCAGTCGGCGTGCAACGATAAATCTGCTCCACGTAATTCCTCAAGTACCCAGAAGTATCTCCCCCCAAATTATTGTTCCCCATTTGGATCTTCTGGATTGTGGGGACCACGAGGACGTTTGGGACTGTTGTGGCGGCTTCTTTTCTCCTGTCCTTTTTCAGCTCTACATTAGTTAAGTTGGTATGTTTTGAGGTCGTTTGACTACCTTGAGGGGTGTTAGTAATTTGTTGGTTTAAATTGTAATTCTGTTGTGGATTTGGTAAAACAATTGAAGTACCTTGAAAATTTCTTCTTGGGTCTATATAATTCGCATTTTTTGACGTCATTTGACTACCTTGAGGGGTGTTACGAATTTGCTGGTGTAAACTGTAATTTTGTTGAGGATTTGCACTCCAATTAGGAGCGCCTTGAAAATTTCTTCTTGGGTCCATATAATTATTAGATGGCAAAGATTTTTTATCCCATCTGTATTGGTTCTCAGCTGGGGGTTTATAATTTTGCGGATTTTGTGTTGCATAACCTGCATAAATATCGGATACCGTTTTGGTATTAGATGAATCCAATAATTTTTGACCCCACCTACTATTATTTGAACCTACACATAACCGATTTTGCTCCATATAACTTTTCCTAAATGGATCATAAATCTCGGATTTATAAGGTACTGTTTTGGTACTTGATAAATCCAATGATTTTTGATTCCACCTACTTTTCTGCAAACCTAAATATGACTGATTTTGTTCATAGCACTGAATCTTCAAATTGTCTTCTTCCTCATCACTTACGTCCATATCCACAGCTGTTGCTGTAAATTCTTCCTGATTTTCTTCATATGTAGTAAAATCTTCTTCTTCATCCATCCAAGGATTGACCACTTGCATTTTGGACTCACTTTGTAAAAAACTTGCTTTTTTACTCACAGACAGTCCATATTCATCTGGATCTTCATTGGAAGAATTTTGGGATCTTTCATCTTCATTTTTGTGCAGGGCTGCAAAAAGTTTTTGAGCAAACTTATTGTGCAGTATTTCTTCATCCATTTCTGTGTGTTTGGATTTGTCACCTCTACTGAAAACCGCATTTTCCAAGCTGTTGTAATCCTCTTCATTATCCATTGAATTTTCTCCATCAAAATCATAAATATTATAATCATCATTCGATTGACTCTTAGCCCCATAAGAGGTACTCCATGGTTCCTGGCTGAAAGTTTATTTAAATATCATTTATACTACTTGTACAATAAAATCAATATGCAATAAATAATTTACTACTTTTAGGCATAATTTTACTCCAATCTACCGCACGCCGTCCCAAAAGATGCAGAAGACACCTTTCTTAACGGGAGTGCAGTAATGCAACTTTAAACTTTGCCTGCAGCTTGCTTTGCAAACTTACTTGTAGTATTATTATTAAATAATACCTTTGTTTATTTGTTATTTACATATCTATACAAATAAATACTTTTCACCTCTCAAAGAAATGTTCAGTCTTACAAGCTCAAAATTACATGTCAAATTCATATTTTTATTTTAAATCATATAAAGCGAAGCAAAAACCACTTACCTGTCCATTGAAATGTTTTTTTAGTTAGATTATTGATAAAAACAAATCAAAGCAAACATGACATTTCGAATGTCATTATTTGTCTTCTTCTTCTACAATATTAGGCAGTGTTGCCGGATTAATGTGTATATACGAGGGAGAATCGATAATTAAATGCTATGCTGTGTCATCTGGACTTAAGTTGAGTTGTCAAAATTCGTGGCTAAAAATGCAATTAATTTGGCTTTGGTGGAGCGTAGATGAGTAAAATCATATAAAAAGTAGTTAAATATAGGTGACTACGGCCCAGGAGAGACAAAGTATTCCTAGCGGATAATAATCTTCGCTTTGAAAAGAATTTATATAAATAAAATTAAAATTTGTTGTGAACGTAAATGTTGTCCAATGGTGAATAATGTGAAAATAATGTGTGATGTAATATTTATAAAGCTAAATTCGTTACTTTTTTACTCCAAAAATGTCCATAAGGCGGTGTACTTTTTCTTCCATTGTGGCATTTGGCATAATTTCATCAAAATGAAGTTTTGCCCTCAAAATGGCTTTTACATTCGAATTCGTTGCTATTATTTTTGGCATAATTATCTTTTTATTTATAATTGACGTAAATTATCGTAAGTAATATCATAAGGGCATTTAAATTTTCCGAAAAGAATCGAAAAAACACGTTGCTAAGTAATATTTTAACATAAAGCATGAGTGCTGGTGGCAACAAAAATCCGAGTCGAAGAGGAGGATTTTTGCACCTGCACGAATGCTTTTTGTTAAAAAATATTACTTAGCATTGTGTTTTTTCGATTTTTTTCACAGGAAAAATTATATGCCCGAATGGTATTTGACAAGACTATTTCATGAGTAACAGTTAACAATTAAAATATAAATTGCAATTTTTGGTGACAACTGCTGTCAAGTTTTGCCGCGGGTAAACTCGAATAAACTGCTGACAGGTGCTGTCACACAGTTTTTTCACCTAGAAACCATTTGTAATTCAAAATTGCGCGTTTGTGATTGGTGGAAATTAAGACGAGGGAAATAGTCAATAATAAATATTATTGTCAATTTGACAG